ATACGAGAAAGGAAAAACAAACACATGAGATGTTAGACGTTCACTGTACAGACCAGACCCTAGGTCACGTGAACCCGCTTCAACCATACAATGAAGGCTGGGTGGTGGTGGCACACGCCTTTAATCCCAGCACTCGGGAGGCAGAGGCAAGCGGATCTCTGTGAGTTTGAGGCCAGCCAGGTCTACAAGAGTTAGTTCTAGGTCAGAAATCAAAAGCTACAGAGAAACCCTGTCTTGAAAAACCAAAAGAAAGAAAAGAAAAAATCGAATGAGGAATGAGTACTAGCTATTGCACTCAGAGTTAGAGCAGGTCTAAGATTAAATGGAGGGGAGATATTGCACTTAAAACAACCCAAAAGACCTGTGTGAATGGTTGTTATTGTAGTCTCAAGTGTCAGGGGGTCCTAGGTAGCTTGAGAATTAGTACTGTTTCTGCTTTTTTAGCCTGCAACCAGGGTTGCACTTAGAACAAGGATACAACAGTTTTAAGTGTGGCTCCAGGCAGGCAGTGGCTGTACCTGTGAACAAGTCAGAGATGCAGTCTCAGACCTCGCAGACTAGTTAGGGCAGGGCACAGACTAGTTAGACCTCACACAGACTAGTTAGACCTCATACAGACTAGTTCAGGCAGGGCACAGCAGCGATGTTCTCAAAAGCTCTCTGAACTGACTCTATCGCGTGGTCTATCATGAGAATTGTTGATTTCAACACTGAAATTGCTGATTTCATTCATATTATTATTATTATTGGTTTTTAGAGACAGGGTTTCTCTGTCACAGCCCTAGCTGTTCTGGAACTAACTCTTATAGACCAGGCTGGCCTCGAACTCAGAGATCCGCCTGCCTTTCCCTCCCGAGTGCTAAGATTAAAGGTGTACGCCACCACCACCTAGCCTCAGATTATTTTTTTAAGGTACCAGTATTCCTCCTAAATCATAGAAAACTGGCTCAGTTTCATGAGACATTGAATCTCAGAACATTAAATATGACCCAAACTCTGGAAAATGTGTCTGCCACCTAACTGATATACTCTCACGAATCATTACTATCACGCTATTTCATTCACTCCTCATAAACATACAACTATTGGCAAAATAACATCACTTGATTAAAGCAATCCACTCTGCTAAAACACAGATTAGCATGCAAATCTCCCAACCGTGGATTTTGTTGAACCAGGTTATTTCTGCAATATCATATTTTTCCAAAATTAAAAAGTACAATTTAGTATTGTTAATTTGGGTTCAGTCGTTACTAAAATTAAACATATATAGTTTTTTGTGTGCATTTATTTAGTTGCATGTGTGCACATGCCTGTACATACATGTGCATCAAAGAACATCCTGTGGAGTGTCAGCTCTCCCTCTATCATGATTTGCAGGGAAAGTAGTTATTTACTCCATCACATGTGTGTGTGTGTCTGAGTATGTGTATGTATGCATATACATACATATATGTGGTGTGTGTATGTTTCTGCTGCTTAGAGAAGCCAGGAGGGGGCAGCACACCCTGGAACTGGAGCTATGGAGTTATAAACAATTATGGGAGCCAAATCTGGGTCCTCTAGGGAGCAGCAAATTCTAACCACTGAACAATCTGTCCAGATCTGGGGAAATTTTAATGAGTTAAACCTAGGGTCTTATGCATGCTGGGAAAAATTACTGTCGGAAACCTCTGAAATTAAATTAGGGCAATGACCTGTAATCCCAGGACTTGAGGTGGAGGCAGAAGGATCAGGAGTTCAAGGCCAGCCTCAGCTACATAGTGAATTGAAGGCCAGCTGACCTACATGAAATGCTATCTTATTAAAAAGAAGAAAAAGAAACAAAAGAGCAGTTCTTTTTTTCGTAAGCTTTATTTTTATCACTCTTATCCACCACACATCGGGAAGCTATCAACAGTGCATCGCATGGTGAGTCAGTTCACAACAAAACTCAACAAGGCAATTGTGTTTACAGAGGAGTTTTCAGCAGAAGTCCGCAATGCAGCTCGCTGAAACACAGTGCTCACACTTTATAGGGAGGTGGAGATAAAGTCCTCTGCTATCAGTAAGAAAACAGACGTCTGAAAGAGTGGTATGGAAATCAGAAATTTAGGGATTTGAAAAAAGAACACCTTGGTACTAAAACACATCTATCTACATTTATAGTCCCACTTAGTTCAAACAAACAACAACAAAAGCCCAACCATTCACAAGCAGTAAAACACCATGAAAAACAGAATCATGGCATCAAGAAGTGCCAAGACCAACACACTACTGGCACATGGGGTAGACTGTCAGAGACGGCCCCTCGCTGCGCACTGTCGCGCTCCTGTCTTCTGAGGTGAAGGTAGCCCAGCAGGAGCCAACGCCTTAGAACTGGCTTTGGTTAGGTGATCTTTCACGTGTTTTTAACCAGACCTTCTATGCCCAAAGCATGTTTGCAAGGGAAAGCAGTAGTAGGTTTTCATATTCAGAACCATTCACTCCGGTGCCGACATAGTCTCAAGTTCAGAAACCATGAAAAGGTATTGATAATAAAGGAATTCCTAGGAGTGACAAAAAAGATGGAAAAGATAGAGCCCTTTTTAGGAGGGGAAAAAAAGCCTTCTAGCCCAGATCTGAATCTACTTAAAGGAGATTAAGGAATGTTAAAGTATTTTAAGATTTTTCAAAATAAAGAATGAAGAATGAAAAATAAATTCTGATGGAAAAGATTATATTCTGCTAATTACAGACGTGAAGATTAAGGTTTTTAACATAATAATAAACAGTACTTACACTTCTTTTCACAAGGTGCTGTAACTCTGCAGTTAGTGCATACTAATGCCACTCACTTCCTGTGCAGAAGGAAGACAGATGCTGACCTTCAGCTTCCTTCTGAGTCTCAATTTGCAATAGTAATAAAGCACAAATGCCCAGAGCTGGAATCAAATACTTTACAAAATTAGGACAAACTCAATATGGATATTTAATCTGGCCTCATAACCCTGACAACAATCTGCTGGGGAACAAGGATGAGGAATGTGTCCGAAAGGCAATGTTTTCATGCTACAGGTAATAACCTAGATTTTTAGATTGTGAACTGTATGCGGAAGTTATGTGAACTAACGCAAGTAAGTGAGTCACTTTCTTCTTTTCTCTATCCATATTAATCATTCTCTTCCTTACTCTTAACTCTTGACAGCCTTCTGGTGACCCGCCTAATAAAATAACACAGTAAATGTAATTCAAGTAACTGAAGAGATTCTGAGAGGAGCTGACAGAGAAAAGGAAAGTGATTCCAACCAAGGATTTTATTTTATTTTTTTATGTGCATTGCTGTTTTTGCCTGCAAGTATGTCTGGGTGAGGGTGTTGGATTCCCTGGAACTGGAGTTAGACAGTTGTGAGCTACCGTGTGGATGCTGGGAATTGAACCCAGGTCCTCTAGAAGAGCAGTCGGTGCTCTTAACCCCAGCCCCCCAATGGAGGATCTTGAAGAATTACTAGAGGTACACTCCCTTATAATAGTGGCTGCAGGTGGTAGTAGCCTGTCTACACAAGTTGCTCAGTAAGAAACAAACAAAAAAGTAAACAATTCCAGTTTTCTTCTCAGAATGTAACTTGCTTTCATTATACAGAGAAGTAGAATAAAGCTGTCTTTTGCACAACAGAGAATAATGGTCACTCAGGCAAGTAAGAGCATGTCTTGTTACCTTTTCATTAAACACTAGAAACTCCGTTCACAGAACACACATCAATTTCTCTTCACACTGTTGTGACAGCTACCTAGTTTAATACTCATGCAATTGTTTAATGAGGTTCCCAGGAACGCCAGCATTTAAAATGGTGTTAACAAACACAACTGCCTTGGCTACAACTCTCTGAAAGGCACAAAAACAGCAAATTTAAAGCAATCATTCCTATAAGCAGCACAAGAAGCAGGGAAAGTGCTGAGCTACAGATAATAGTTTATCAGGATAACAAAATTTGTGTAAACTTTTGTGTTTGTCTTATATCCTGAAAAATTCCCTTAATGATCATCTATAAAGTTTCCTACAAGAGTTGGGCATGATGGTGCACACTGTGATAAGCAGCACTTGGGAGGCTGAGACAGGAAGATCCTGAGCTGGAGGCCAGTCTAGGCTACACTGTGAAACCCTGTCTCCAAAAAGCTGTTTATTCTAAATGCTCCCTGGCATATATGTATTTCTTTGACAGCTCATTTCTTCTTAAAGTCATAGCAAAAATAGTCTAAATTGTTTACCTTCTTAAATATCTAGTACCTGCCAGCTGCTGGTCATGGTATGAAGCACTAGTCACCAGACAACTTTAGACATAGTGAACACCATTTTGGGAAGGACAAAAATCATGATCCATCCTGTGGTATCAGGTGAAGAAAGGATCAAAATTCATTACAAATGGGGGGGGGGGGGGGCGGGACTCTAAAAACTAAAATATCCAAGCTTCTCCATGATTAAGAATCTAAAAATCCAAACACACCCAGATGAGCTCCACATGACAGAGACTCAAGATCAGGGTGTTCTTTGAGGAAGTTAGGACACCAGGTGGAAAGACCACAGACCCCTACTCAAAAGAAAGGCGAAAGCTGAGCACCTCAAGAAACAGGATTTCTTTTGAGCTAGCAGTGACCAAGGACTGGTCTGTATGTGACCACAATTTACAAGAAATAGAGAGAGCTGGAGCAATAAGGTTTGAGGAAAGAACCCTAACAAATGGAACGAGATCTCAGAATTCGATGTGCTGGATAACTGACCTTTCCATCCACATGCAATACTGAGATATATCAAGTAGGAATAGTTTTACACATACATACTTTTTAAGTAAGCCAAGGAAATTCTGGACTCACATGACTCAATCCAAGTTATTCCAAGAAAAGTGACAGTGTAGTCGTCACCTGGAGCTTTTGCCCAGATGAGGTTTAATATTCACCAGGAAACACAAGGCACTTGCTCATATGAGCCAGCTACACATCCAACAGATGGAAAGTCACGATGTGATCCTACCTGTACCCTAACCTGAAAAAAAAAAAAGCTAGCCCGTACTCTTTGAGTAAGAGTCGGTAGACCACACGGCTACAAGGGTCTCCCTGACTGATTCCCTCACCCACTATGCTGTTCTATGACGATGCTCATTTTCAAAAACTGCTGAAAAATACAATGCTATGTACAATAGGCCTAAGAAGTCAGAGTGAGAACTACCAAAAATGATAACAAACTGTTCGCCACCTGCCTTTGATCAACAAATTCAAAAGAGCCATGAAACAGTTCTGATGAATAGTCTAACCTGCCTTTAAAGTTACTCCGCAGCTGAAGCCCGTACTTGAGGGAAAGTCCAGTGTAATAAGACACCCGCAATTCTTCTGCACTTCTCTGTGAGGCAGCATGGTTGGTGGCAGGTTAACATATCTCAACACTCTTTAGCAGCTATAGATGAAAGAGAAGGCTGTGCTTCTCTCAATGAAAACAGAGGCAGATGAGTAAAACTATATTAGTCATATGATTCTAAAAGCAGCTGTAAACTTAGCTCAGGAGACAGCACAAAGGGAGATTTCCCAAAGATAGCTGCTGTGCTAATGGCCACAAAGGAAGGAGGGTATCCAGTGCTAATAAACCTCATACTGAGGTGCCCAACACTACTATTCTCTTCTAAATATAGTATTAGAGTTTTTATCATGGCTACTAGCCACCTCCTCCAAATACTTCTCAAGAATGCAAAATTCCCCAGGGGGCAATCACTTTCTATGCCTGATCTGGGACATGTGCCGCAGTAGAGTAGTACCATGGAAGAATAAGGAAGGAAGCGGGAAGGCAAGAGGGATGGAAGCACAAATACTAAAATAGGGAAAGAAAAACTACCTGAGATAAAATTTGCCCCCAGAGAAAGGTGCTTATATGAATCCTTGCCTCTTTACCTTGCCTGGTAAAAGAATTCTAGGTTTTTAATAACTTCAAAGAATTAAGATTTCTGTGCATATATTTATTGTGAAAATTACATCTTTTATAACATTTGGTCCTATTTAAGAAAGTCCTCATGGTATCAGAGGAGGGAGACTATGCAGCTGTCCTCTTTGGTAAATGGGCTAAGAACTAGCAAACAATGGTTTAAATTATAGGAGGGTAGCCTTTGTTTTCAATTTTGTGGCTTCAATATAAAATATTTAATTCAATACATTTACTTGGGCCCACCATTTACTTCCTTAGTTTCCTCAAAATCAAATTAGCATCGTCTGCAGTAAGTCTACAGAGTCAAACACGACACACATTTATAAGTACATTTGCACTGATGAGGATTACAGAAGGCTAAGTGCAGAAATGTTAGCAGCATCCACCCGACAGAGCTTGGAAGCCTATCTGCAGTTTATTTGCAAGGGTCTTTTTTGTGAGACAGGGGAACATATGTCAACCATACTTGCTCTTCCAAAGAACTCACTTGTACCCTGTGACCACAGAAGCAGTCCCTGATGTAAATATTTATGCTCTAGGAAAGCAAAGGGCTTCACAGTACATGCTCTCTAATTCTGACTTGAAAACCACCCAATCAATTCTCAAAGAGCCTTCTATCTAAATAACATATCAGGGACCATGATGTAAGACTATGACATAATCCCCTTAAAACAAATTTAACCTCATAAGAGGGAGCTCTGAATAATTTGATTTTACTAACAAATGTTGGACAATGTATTTTTCAACAGGGTAAAATAACTCATCCTTTAAAATGCAAATTGTAATGGAGCTTTCAGGAGCGTACATGGCTCGGACACGAGAAGACTATATAAGCAGGCTGCTGTCAGGGAAAGACACATGCTCTTTCCTAAGGAAAAATAAATAAATAAAACTTTCATTTAGGTAAGGAGACTGGGAAAATTCCAAACTGGTGTACAGTCTGTGGGTTATTCTGTACTTCCAGTGCTTTACTAAGTTACAGCTTTCAAAGCAACCCACTACAGAATAGGAAGAATCCACGCTCACAATCCTCAAGCCACAGTCCATCTGTGCCCACAAACTCATGACAACAGGCGCCCTCTAAACAAGGACACATCAGATCACTACAGAGCTTTTAGAAACTCAGTTTTGATTCCTTTCTACTTCCACCTCATAATATCCCAACCTTTCTTTACTCCGTTACAGTCAAAAGCCCTCCAGCTGCAGACAGAGGCAAAGGGGACAAGGGATGAAGGTGCAGGGCAGCAGGGAGGACACAGGGAGGAAAGGATCCATGACTACCTTCTTTGCACTTTTCTCTTTTCCCTTCACTATACAACAAACTTTTTTCTGATCCACCTCAATTTCCCATTACAGCAGAAAAAAAAAAACTATATCTGAAGAAATTTTACAATTATCACAAGAGGTTCAGTACAAAACAAGATGAGTTAATCTTGGGTCTAAAGTAGACCAAAGACTGGGATAATTTACATGTACAAAACCTTCTTTGTTCCAGTCACTCGGAAGAGTTTCAGTGTAACCCTGGTCTAGACTCCAGTTTGTTCTGCACTTTTTGTTATTTACATTCTATCAGTCAGACCAACTTTCGAGAAACCTGTTTGTCAAGTCTCACAAGTGTGAAACAGGCAGGAAGAAATGGTTATAGACTGTATTAGCTCACAAAACTCACACTATAAAGTACACTGACTCCAATTTCTCTATTCTTTCACACCTGCACACCCACTCAAGCACACATACTAGACATAAAAATTGTGCAAGATCAAGCATCAGCTTTCTATTGTAAAAGCCTTAATAGTAATTTTAAAAACATTGATAGGCTCACTGCAGTTTCTTCAGAGGAATATTAAGTTCTACAGTACTCCCTTAGAAAAATTCACAACTCATTGTTAAGAACACGGTAGGTAACTGCTGCTTGACAATGACTTAACATTATTAGAGCATCCAGTGCCAGCTAGAATAACAATGAGATACACCTGACAATACAAACAAATAATCTGTGATGTCACCAACCCTAACAAATTTGTTAATAATATTCACTATGACAAATTACTCATCATTGCTTCATCATCACATGAAATGACATCTCTTTAGGTTACATACTAAAGAGCAGCACCTGCCCTACTGCACAAGTTAAGGGTGCCCACATGGGTGCTCTAACCCCCTCAATGTATAGCTGAGAGGTCTTGTCCTACTCAATGCCAATGTTTGCAATGCAGTCACTGTTTGGGCAATGGCTGCACATTAGTAGGATTAAATAAATGTACAAGGTACCCTTTAAAATGGGTAAAGGGGTGCTCCTGCATTCAGCTGTGGAATATCCAAGAAATGGAAGAGGAGAAACAGGAAATAGTCCTTAGGTTACTAATTAAAGCAAGGTTTGATACAGGTATCCCCTCTTGTAGGCACTCAGCGGGTAGAATGTAGCCACAACAAACTTTCCATCAAACATCCTCCCAGTCAGCAATTTCTGAGCAGCTTTGGAATCCCCAGCATTTGCGTACTCAACAAAGACCTGCGGGAGGTTAGAGAAGACAGCATCATTTCACAGCAGTGAGTTCAGATTTCGATCAGTACTTTAATGTCTACCCAGTTACATGATACAGAAAAACATTAATTAAAGACATGTGAGACACTGGTCCTTTAAGATCATAACTGAGTTGGAAATTCATATTGCCTGGTATTTCACTGTACCTTTCTGGCATTTACACCAGTGTTTACCTGTGTATCACAGCTGCCTACAGTATTCAAGCTAGTAATATCCCAGGTTTGTAGGTCAGCAACAACAGACTACAACATGCAGTCTAGGTGTTTTGTAGGCTCTAGCATGCAAGCATAAGTGTGCTGTGTATCAGTTTGCACAACAAAATCACAGAAATACATTTCTCATACCATTTCCTATTATTAAATGACACAAGTGTGTATCACTTGGGGATTTTGTTAAAATACAGACTTTGCTTCTATTAGTTCAAAGTATAGCTTCAGTGTCTGTAATTTTTTTAGAAATTAATTCTCTGTGTGTGTGTGTAAGCCAGAGGATAACTTTCAGGAGACAGTTCTCTCCTGCCACCTTATAGGATCCTGCAATTGAACTTAGGCCATCTAGCCTACCCACAAAAACCTCTACCCCAAGTCATCCTACCTGCCTGTGTCTGCTTCGTCACATTTCTTAACAAGCTCTGATGGCAATGCTGATAATCCACTGAGCACACTTTATAGTAGGTTAAAACACTTCCTTAGAACTCAGCTCAATTCATCAAATTCTTAAGAGCTATCAAAGACAAGTTAGGTGAAAAAGCATACGAGTTTTAGTGAAACTCAAAGGAGTAAGAAGTAGTAGATGACAGAGCCAGGTAAGGATGTAGAGCCCAGAGAGAAACTAACACCACAATAAAGAAATCTACACTCGTAGAAGTACGTGATAGAAAAATATCTGAACAAAGCTACTAGCAACTATGCCTGTCAAAATATTTATACAAACTACAGACTGAAACTATAATAAAGAAGTTCAAACCCAGTGATTTCCTTTCCTGGAGCATCTGAATCCTTCCCAAAAGTAGAGATTGGAACAAGGAACCATGGACATTCTCTTTGCTGCCCTAAGCAAAAGGACAGGGAATGGGAATGATTTGGAACGACTTGTTTTCAGTTATCCCACACATCAGAAAACTAATTAGATTCAAGAACTGCCTCTCTGCTCTCTCTGTCACTTACTCATTATGTCAAGAATTACCACCTGGCGATGGTGGCGCACGCGTTTAATTCCAGCACTCCGGAGGCAGAAGCAGGCAGAACTCTGTGAGTTCAAGGTCAGCTTGATTTACAGAGTGAGTTCCAGGACAGGCTCCAAAGCTAAAGAGAAACCCTGTCTTGAGAGAGAGAGAGAGAGAGAGAGAGAGAGAGAGAGAGAGAGAGAGAGAGAGAATGAGAATTGAGGGAGGGAGGGAAGAAAGGAGGGAGGAAGGGAAGAAGGAAGGAAAAAAGGAAGGAAAGAAGGAAAAAAGAAAGAAAGAAAAGAAGGAAAGCAAGCAAGCAAGCAAACAAAAAAATTCAGAGGCCTTTGAAAGCAATGTGAAAATGGATCCTCACCTTCCAGTTAGGTTCAGACAGGGTCCCAAGTCACCCAAGCTGGCCTAAACATATTTTATGTAGCAAGAAACCTTTCAACTTGTTTTTCTGCTTCTGCCTCTGCTTCTCAAATGCTGGGATGATAGGCATGTGCCACCATGCCTAACTCTTTTATACACGTTCTTCTGTGTTTTCAAACTAATTCACCTACAAATTCAGGCACATTCCCAGTTTTCACCTCTCCCTGTACAGGAACCCTTCTCTCATTAAAAAAAAAAAAAAGAAAGAAAAAAAAAAGCCAAGTTCGCTTCCATGGAGTATAAAAAAACATTTCTAATAGAGCTTCATATGCATGCATGTGTATACGTGTGTGTGTGTGTGTCTGTCTCTGTGCGTGTGCACAGGGGTGCAGGTGCAGGCCAGAGGCTGAGGACAGGTGTCTTCCTCAATCACTTTTCCACCTTTTTTTTTTTTTAAATGACTTATTTCTCACTGTCTAGCTACAATGGATGACCAAAAAACCCCAGGGATTCTCCTGTCTCTGGTTCCTCAGTGCTGGAATTGTAGGTACATGACAACACATTTGGCTTTTTACATTGATATTAGTGATGTAAATGGGTCTTCATGCTTGGACAACAAGTCCTTTCCCCTCTGTGCCATATCCTCAGCCCCTAATACCCAATCTTTTATGGAATATTCCTAGGTGACCTATGATTAGTCATACCATCTCATGCGAGTATTCTGTTAAGCATGGTGTGTGTGTGTGTGTGTGTGTGTGTATACATATTTGTATTTTTGAGATAGGGTTTCTCTGTAGCTTTGGTGCCTGTCCTGGAACTAACTGTTGTAGACCAGGTTGGCCTCGAACTCACAAAGATCCTCCTGCCTCTGCCTCCCTAGTGGTAGGATTAAAGGCGCGCACCACCACCACACGGCTGATGTATAAATTTATACCTAAAGAATTTGGACCTCTGATAGAATTTTCTAAGTTTATATATATATATTGGAAAGTGGAGAGGTGGTACTAATTTTGCTCCTTCAATATAACTATGTTTAAGGTATGCACTGCTCTTGAAGACAAAGCAAAGATTAACCAATAATAACACTAGCCATATATATATATATATCGATGTCTCACTGGTCAAATTACTTGCCCTAAACAGTAAAGGCTGGAGTTTGGATCCCAAGAACCCATGTAAAATGACAGGCAGCCATGCTGCTTTGTCTTAATTTCATCCTCAGAAGGCAGAGGGCCAGAAATCCCTGGAATAAGCCAGTCCAACAAGACTAGCCATATTTGCAAGCTCTGGGTTTAACGGAGAGACCCTGCCACAATAAAGAGGAAAAGAAATGGGGAATGATTCCCAACATCAGACTTAGGCCTCCAAATGTACAAACATGCACGCACACAAACGCACACACACACGAAAATGAAAATAAAAAGTTAGGTAAAATGATACTTGTCAGCTATTCAGAGACCTCATTTCTAAAATATGTTATTAATTGAAATAAAAGCATTTCCAAATGGCCAATGAGCTATAAGATATTATCTTCAATCAGCAGCATGGTGGTGGCATGCGTCTGTAATTCTAGCACTCAGGATGCTGGAACAGGAGGATTTGGTAGAGTACATAGTCAAGTGATGGCACCACTCCAGATGAACATGTCCACTGGGAGACGGTCGGGTAAGAGTGGCAACCGCTGCGCAGAGGCAGGGGCTGCTGCTACACAGTCTACACTCTACAGGGCAGTTCCCTCAAAGTGATATGCCTTGAATGTTAATAGCGACTAGAGGAGAGACCTGAAATGTATTAGAGTAATGTTCCGTTTCTCCAAAAGTAAAAATAACATAAACAAAGCATTTGCATGTTCTTATCCTTTTTTCCTTGTGATTTATTAGAGAGAGACCTTCTAATAAAAATGATGTGATCACAGTTTTCACCCAGACAACTGACTGAGGACGTATGGACCATCACAGGCTGGTCAAACTGAGACACCGCTCAGGAATGAGTCTCCACCCAGCAATGCTGTATTTCTTTAAATCATCACTAATCATTTTTATTGTAGTCAGAACCTAATCCAACTGGTTTTTCAAGTGTACTTAATATGAACAAAATTGAACCAATTAGCTCTCTAATTAAACCTAATCGAAATGAACACACAATTCAGCTTGTGTCACTGTCTACAATGGCTCAAAAGTACATTTTTTAAAAACAGAGTTTAAGTGACTACAAAAGTCAAATATACTGTAAAATTTCTAGATGGGTAAAAAGCCTAAGAAAGTAATTATAATCTATACCGAAAAAAATTCTGTACACCTTCCCACAGAACCCATCTAACACACAATTTTAATAGTCTCCAAATAATTCTGCAATTATAAAAAATGGCTTACTTGTCCTCTGCCAGGATTTTCCTTTGGAACAAGCAGAGAAACCACTGGTCCATATTTCTGACACTCCTCTTTGACATCTTCTACAATATCTGGTGAGAGAACCACATAACAGCAGGCCGGTTGCCACGTGAGAATGCAGGGACACACAGCTAAGTAGGGAAGCTATTTTCCTTACCTTAGGAAAAAAAGCTTAAAATATATAAAGTCAGAGCATTAACAATTTAATAGTCTATATTTAATGTTTTAAACTTCCCAACTGTCATTCTGTTTTTCCTGTTAAAGTCAACCAGCACCATGAAGTTACTACTGTATCTGCCAGAGTGTTATCAGCGCACACAAGCAAATATAATTTTATGTAGTTTAAGGAACAATTTCCACTTTAGTGTTTCTTAAGTATATCTTTGTAGTTTTCTAGATTTTATATTTATTTTAACTTATTACTTAATTTAATTAGTTTATTTAAGTGTTTTAACTGCAGATATACATGTGCAACATGTGACTGCAGAGCCCCTGAGGACAAAGAGGGCACTGGATCCTCTGGAACTGGAGTTATAAGACCACTGTGAGCTGCCATGCGACTGCTGATCCACCTCTCTGGACAGTTTTCCATATTATTAAATGAAATATTCTCATTTGGTTTTATGACTATGTACTTTTGGACAGTTTACTATATTCAAGAAATTACCCAATGTCTCCCAACTGATGACTACTCAACTATTTCAAAAGTTCTTGATATTGTAGACAATACTATTTACAATTAATTTCACTTCATTATTTCTTGCAGCTGATATTCTAGAAATACCATTGCTAGGTCAAAACTGACATAAACTTGCAATGCTGTTACAATTATCAGGCTGTCTTTCCTAAGGGTCTAACATAAACTCTTTTAAGCAGTGTAATCAAAAATTTGTTTTCCTATTCCCTATAGTTTTTGCTGTTTCTGTGCCCAGCAACAAAGACATAGCAGTTTGGATTGAACTGACATAAACTCACACCTTTCTACCATAAATGTTTATTGGGTGCCTACTATGCATTCTTCCAAGCATGCTACAATCCAATTCTTAATCACAGTCATCAAGCCTGTTAGGTATGTGCACATTGGCTACTGTTACAATTTTAACTGTTTTCCACAAGTAAGTTAAGATACAATCATGCCAAGCTGCTGCCCCCTGAACATGGCACACTTTCTACTTGATGTTACTTCTTCCTACCACTCACCTTTTAGGTAACTAATCATTGAGCTCAGCTGTAACCACTTCAGTGAAAGCCCTCACTTATAACTCAAGCTAGGCTGAGCACCCTTTTTCTGTTGTCATTTGTATGTGTTTCTCTTGTATTAAAAACAAGAAATAATCCCATGTGTTTGAATGAAAAGACTGTTAAAAGGCGCAGAGAGAGAGAGAGAGAGACAAAGAGAAGAGAGAGAAAACATAAATGACAGCACAGAGGAGGGACAGAAAACAGATCAGAGACAATCTTATGGGTAAATATTAATTTGGTAAACTAAAATGTCAGAGTCCAAATGACTTTATGAATCTACAAATCACAAATATTTGAGACATCACAGAGTTCAATGGCCTGTTTAAATTTTGTGTTTAGAGGGGGCTGAGAGATGGCTCAGAGGTTAAGAGCACTGCCTGCTCTTCCAAAGGTCCTGAGTTCAATTCCCAGCAACCACACGGTGGCTCACAACCATCTGTAATGAGATCTGGTGCCCTCTTCTGGCCTGCAGGAATACACGCAGACAGAATACTGTATACTTAATAAATAAATATTAAAAAAAAAAGAAAAAAATTTTGTGTTTAGAAAAAAACAGAAGAATCCTATGAATAAAATTCAAATTATACAGACATTGGTCATATTGTGTGTGTAAGAAACACTACAGTGAAATTTGGAAAGCACTAACCTTCATATTCATCTTCATTTTTAAGATAATCATCATCTAGCACATTGAGGAGTCTGAGCACTGGAGTTGGAAGCATCACCAGATCTTCAATATGAGGGGCTGTGAAGGTTCATGACAGTATGGTTAAATGTAATAAACTGAGGACCTGATCAAATAAGGAACCTGAGAATATATACAGATAATTGCCAAAAGACCGGGGAGGGGACATAATGACAGATACAACTTACCAAAAGGGATGCTAAAGAATGGGCTGCACAATGCCATCTCAGCAGGAATCCTTCTGCTTGGGTCATCATGAAGCATGCTGAAACATAACAAGTCATTATGATTACTGCCAGATCTTCTGAAAGTAAAACTATCAGAAAGACAAAACAAACTCAGTGTTCATCTCAGCACCTCCTTTATTCTCGTGGATTACTGAATCATTCCCCCGTGGAGAACAGAAAGATCACCTGAGTAACAAAACCATGAGACATTTCTGACATAGTATCATGCTATGATTTAATGTTTCTAACTAAAAAATGAAACAGGAAAGCAATGCACACGCTATAGCACAGTGGGGCAGGGGCTAGACAAATGTTTGAGATAGCACAAAAAACAAAACAAAACAACAACAACAAAAAAAAACCAGGCAAACAAAAAGCAAAAACAAAAACCAGAAGATAGTAGTAGGGTAATTGAATCTTGCCAAATTCTCCTAATCTTAAAACAATTTTATGTAAAAATTTATAGGCAATAATACCAGAAACGGCCGGGCGATGGTGGCGCACGCCTTTAATCCCAGCACTCGGGAGGCAGAGGCAGGCAGATCTCTGTGAGTTCGAGGCCAGCCTGGTCTACAAGAGCTAGTTCCAGGACAGGCTCCAAAGCCTCAGAGAAACCCTGTCTCGAAAAACCAAAAAAAAAAAAAAAAACCAGAAACAGACTATTGATATATATTTCATTTATAAGAAAGTAGAGAATAACAAAAGAAAGTAAGACAGGAGAACAAAACAACAAGCCAAACAGATATCATTGGGAAGTGCAGCAAGCCAATTTTAAAAAAGCAGATTAAACTACAAGGGACTACTGCACTTATACCAGGTAAATATAAATGAGTCTCTGGGAAATCCTAAGAGCAAGAGTAACCCAGAAACTAGGATTTCCTAAAATAAGCAGCCAAGACACATGGAAAATTCCAGTGAGAAAAAAATATTGGGAAAAGAATTCAAATGATTAAAATGGGGGAAGACAGGAAGACAGACAGAGGGTAAGTAAGATTTATTAGAACAAAACCAAGGAAGAAGAGTCAGATTGCAGGATAGGGAAAAAACACACCTTTTCCCCTCTCTTTTGTGGCTATGAGACAACATCTCACGAGTAGTTTAAGGCAGCCTCAAACTACAGCTCTCCTGCCTCCACCTCCCAAACACTGGGATTACAGACATGCACCATCATGCCTGGCTTTTCTTTAATATTACATAAAAACAGCAGAAGAATGACACTTATATAACTAGAAAGGCTATCTTAATTGCTCTGCTTTGAGACAATGTCTCACTAAGTAGCTCTGGCTGGCCTGGAACTCTCTTTGTAGACCAGGCTGGCCTTGAACTCACAGAGATCCTCCTGCTACTGTCCTGGAGGGATTAAATCAGTAACACAAATACAAATTTAAAAAGGAAAAAAAATACTTTAACTGGTAAAGTCTGAAAAGCAAGTTATACTACGTCTAACATACCTTTTGATAAGGTCTCTGAGGTGATAGGCTGGAATTGCGGCATTCACCACTGCTTTACTGGCAAATATATGATCAATAATAGCAGAACTGTTTGCCTAAAAGAGGGATAAAAGTCTTCCTTAGGTTATTCATCTCAGCTTGCATTTATTGAGCAGTAGCCACGTGGCACTATTCCATGAGTAACATGCGATACCTCTTCCAAGAACTTATAATCTTAATGGAGGAGACTGCATTATAGTGAATTTCTAGAGGCACTAATTAATATAATACCTGGCACTATTAACATCTTCAAAACTCAAGAAATCACATTGAGATGAAATTTTATGAATGACTGTAATAGGTGGGTCATAGTGCCTAATGATGAGTCTTTGTTAGTATTTAGGTGAAATAAACTGTCACTGAGAAAAAGGAGGAAGCATGAGAATGTTGTTGCCTTTGTTACATTATCCACATTCCATTTGTAGCCGATAGATAGCACTTGCTCCTTGAGCACTGTGATGGTTAATCTTCAATGTCAATTTAGAATCACTGAAGACACTGGTAAGGTATACTTCTTGGGTACACCTGATAGTGTATGTCCAGAGATTAACTGAAGGGAGAAGGCCTACACAGCATGTAGGCAGCACTATCTCACGGGCTTGAGTACAGAATTAAGGAAAAAGGGAGACAGCCAACCAGGCACTAGAATGCCCCCTCTCGGCTTCCTAGCCACCAGGATGCAAACTGCCCTGCCACATTGCTACACTCTTCCTGACAGCAGGGACCAATCCCTCTGAAACTGTGATCCAAAATAATTATTTCCACTAGATATAAAAATGTAACTAACAATATGCAGTGAATACTATACTAACTCAGAATGCACAACTGTGTAAATAACAAACATTCAGACATCCACAATAACTAGGATCTACTGGTTACTTTCCATGGACCACACACTATGCTGAAAAACTATGCCAACATTTCTTTTTTAGTTTTAGTACTCTTATAAGATATTATATTCATAGTCTTCTTACATTACAGGAAAGTAAAAGGTTTAATGAACCTAAATAACTTAGTAAGAGTTGAAAGTAATATACAGTTGAGCTTCAGAATCTATGCTCACACAAGCTTGGCAATTTTGCCTCTGCAGAAGGTGATAAAACAGATTATGACACTTTACCTAGAGAGACATACATTTGAGATTCCATTAGTATATGTCATGCCTCCAAATTTCACACAGATTTGAGTGTGACTTATCTCTGACGTGCTCTGGGCCAACTAGATACAGTTCAAAGGGCCTGAACACAGTCTAAGCTAATTTAAATGGCTGACCCATATTCAGATAGACACTAAAGAACACTTGGCTTGTTAGCTATTGGGAAATATCATTAATAGAAAGAAAATAACATTGGTTTTATGCCCATATATGTCATTTTTTGGGCCAATAATAAATTTAAGGTAATCCCACTAGAGAGTTAGTGTATTCTTTCCAAGAATCACTAAACCAGAAATCAGTGACTAGGGTTTAGCACAAATGAAACTATATTATAATGGCCACCTACTATTTGTTAGATGTTTGTTTGTTTATGCTTTTTCAAGACAGCATTTCTCTGTGCAGCCTTGGCTATCCTGGAACCCGCTCTGTAGACCAGGTTGGCCATGAACTCAAAAAACTGTTTGCCTCTGCCTCCTGAGTGCTAGGATTAAAGACATGCACCACCACTGCCTGGCAGCTAGACATTTATTATTAAAATATTTAATTTCAAATACTTATTGCTTAAAACCAGATTCAACGATAATGTCAAAGTATTACATACAGAGATACTGAGAACATCATCATAATAAAACATGACAATACATCTAGAAAACTAATTAGGATGAATTCCTAACTTAGAGACATACAAAAGTTCATTTCAGCCGGGCGGTGGTGGCACACGCCTTTAATCCCAGCACTCGGGAGGCAGAGGCAGGTGGATCTCTGTGAGTTCGAGGCCAGCCTATTCTACAAGAGCTAGTTCTAGGACAGGTTCCAAAAGCTACAGAGAAACCTTGTCTTGAAAAACCAAAAAAAAAAAAAAAAAAATTCATTTCAAAGTCTGAGGTTTGGAATTTAAAACCATGCTCCCGCAATACAACAAAAGCAGTAATCGCTATACCAGTCACATAAGCTAACTAGACAGTGCAGAATGTATAACAGCCTATGGAACAGTAATAAACACAAAGTACTATGGTGCTATGGAAAGCTTCTAGAAAGAGAAGCTAACACATGACCTGGAACCAGCTATATTATACAACTCTAGCAGCCAATAGGACTGTTCAGAAAAGTTAACAAGATTGTGCTATAAAGTACCTTTTAACCGTAAAGCATTATAAAAAGACTATTATTTAAATTAATACCTATAATTTTGCTAGTAATATTTCTAAAGCTAAGATAACTAACTTGATCAACAAAGGAAATTTCTTTTTTGGGGGTGAAGGGGTGTTCAAAACAAGGTTTAGAGCCCTAGTTGTCCTAGAACTAACTAGCTCTGTAGACCAGGCTAGCCTCTAACTCACAGAGATCCACCTGTCTCTGCCTCCCCAGTACTGGGACAAAAGGCGTGTGCCACCATGATCAGGGAATTTCTTTTGCCAGTTTGGGAAAATACATTCAGACATTTCAGCAAATGCTTACTATACCCCAGGACCTAGATGAACAGCTGCGAGGCAGCAAGTCAGTGCATCTGAAGCTGTAGGAATAAGGAGAGGCACTGAAGTACATAGAAAACATGAAGGAGAGGAGGCAATCAGATTCTCTGACCAAAACCAAAGAAAACATCATAAAGCAAATTACTAAACTGATGAAGACCCCAAAGCAAAACCCTCGTGCACTTTACCTTCCATTCCTGAGATCTGACTGTATGTTTCAGTTTCATTCCTGAGAACATTTCCAGTAAAATGATTCCGAGGCTCCACAGATCAACAGCTGAGGTACATTCTGTATCACTCTGCAGGCCAGCCTGGGCTAAGCAATTTTGCAGTTCTGCTTCTGGAGCTCGATACCCGTCTGTCTGAATATACTTTACATCCTACGAAGATGAAGACACACTGCAGCAATAAGAAGGCTCTCACTTTCCATCCTTCTCTATCATTCTTTAAAGGCACAGCAGTGACCGACAAAACCAACACCATAAGCTCTAGTCCTCATCTACCACAATCCTTCAGCTCCTTTTAAGTGAGGTTAGCACAGAAAAGCTGCACGCATTCCATACAGTTGCTCAAAAAGAAGTTGTTTTTTTAAAGACAGTTTCTTACCTATTATGATAAAGACCCTCTGCAAAACCCTGATAAATCATAGAGAAATAGGGATTTGCCTGAATTGTCACATCTGCCATCAGTCATGGATAAGAGTCCCAACACCAAAGAAACAGGAACAGCAACCCGGCAACTCACCTAATGCTGACAGACAGAAAAGCTTTCTATGTGGGCTAAGCAAGCTTATTAATTTCTGAGCTTTCAGGAGACTTACTAACTCCTTCTACCTGACCCAAATTTATGTCCTTGTTTCACAGAGCATCACTGAAGTTCTTTTAATTTCTCTCAGAAGCACCGCGGTACTTTGCAAGTGTCCCTTTAGTCTCTAAACTGCCACTGTTATTAAAAACATTTGGCTTGGATCATCAGAATTTATAATGGAGAAGAAAAGAATCTTACTTGATTGCCTTCTTTGAAGCTAAGTCCAAAGTCAATAAGCTTAAAGCACTCATTCTCTGCACTCCACAGAATGTTTCGTGGTTTGAGGTCTGCGTGGACATAGCCCTCGTGGTGAAGGAAAGCAAGGGCCTCCAGAACATCTCTGGCACAATGCTGTATCATCCACATGGAGCAACCCTGGTGACTGGAATATAAAAGCAATTCCGAAACACTGACATCCAGGAGTTCAAGCAACAGACAGCGTGATGGCACATTTGGAGGTAAGTGTATGGTAAAGACTCCATATAAAGTCACTACAAAAAGAAAAAAATTACAGTACTTTAAACGTCAAATTCATAGTAACTCACTACCAAAGTAGTTACCTCTTCTATATAAAATCTAATTTTTATGTGTGTGTGTGTGTGTGTGTGTGCGCGCACACACACATGTGAGAGCTACTATTATAGTAAAACAATGGAATTTCCCTCTAGGTAGACCTTATTTACCCCCTTAAGAGCTAATCCAGTTGGTGGGTCGATGACGGTCTAAGGGTCTAGCCCTAGCCATGCTAAAGAGGTAGGAGGTATATTAGTCCTTTCATGAGATATTTATTTCCCCAGAATTCCTGCCCCTGTCTCTTGCAAAACAAACCATGCTTTTCTTAATCACTTTCTTAAAGGGACCTCCAGGCTTTGTGGTTGTGTGACCACCCCATCTCCCTACCAAACACGGCTGGCCCCCACACTGGCTCGCCACTGGCAACATGGCTTCTTCTTTTATTTTCATTTTCTCCTCCTCAGAGCAGCTGCTGAGATTTCAGCTTGCCTTCCCTGGGATTTTTCTTTTAAACTCCCAAAGAAATTGTCCTCAAGCATTTCCCCAGTGTCATGTGACCACTGAGGCAGTATGCCCCCAAATCTCCAGCAAGACTGGGAACCGACCTCGGGTCCTCTACAAAAACAGCTGAGCTACCTCTTGCTCCCTCCCAGATAAGGATAACTATGATCAGCAAGAAACTTCCACTATTTTCCAGTGAGTAAACTCTTTGGACAGTGGGGTTATTTAAATTAAATAAAATGCTGTATATGGCAGTAGTGGGTGAATATGCACTTAAGATGTCAAGAAAAAATTATTTAAAGTAAAAACCATAATATTAAGTAACCCTTAAAAACAAATTGATTGGTTGATTCATATCTTAAATAGTAAATAAATAAATCAAGACATTGCAGATAACATTTTTTTGTTTTGTTTTGTTTTGTTTTGTTTTTCGAGACAGGGTTTCTCTGTGGCTTTGGAGCCTCTCCTGGAACTAGCTCTGTAGACCAGGCTGGTCTCGAACTCACAGAGATCCGCCTGCCTCTGCCTCCCGAGTGCTGGGATTAAAGGCGTGTGCCACCACCGCGTGGCTGCAGATAACATTTTAATGTAATCTCGCAGGGAATCAACAAGTAAGGAGGCTTGCACGAATTTTCCCTGACAAACATCAAGGTTATGGTGATACTCCACTTAGCAAGCTTAACAAAAGAAAAACACTAGTATCCGAAAATTCTTCTGCCAACAAAGATGTATTATAAGAAGGTCTTCAATTTATCCATGGATTCTGTATACCACGATGTATAGCCAATACAAGCTTGCATTCTGAATATCTGAGTCACGAAAGTCTTACTGGAGCAAACACAGAGCTCCTAAATTTCACTCTTCCACAACTTGTAGGTAATACGATATCCCCTCTCTCAAATCCACACTAAATATGTAGCATTTGAGTTGCTAGTATGTCATAAGTGGTCACTGATGTCACTGGATGCCACAGTCCTAGAATATTTTCCATTTTCTATTGGAAGGAAAAGATGCAAAAATTTCCACTCAAGACATGACAACCTAGCAAAGGAATGCCTTTCGCTGCCGAAGGCATTTCTCTATATGCTACTAAGTATAGGCTGAAAACCGAAGCACTGCTATGTGATAATCACCTCCACCATACCTCAGAGCGCTGCAAAGGAAAGGCGGAGGGGAAAGGGACCTGCAGCGGGCGATAAACCAGTGAGGCCCAATCCTCTCCTCCCACCTAAAAGGACCAAGGGCCGGAGGGGCGAGGGCGGCGCTGAGGACAGGTATGCTGGGAGCGGGACCTGGGCAAGAGACGGGAGACGGCCACAATTACCGATGTTCCTGTGACCCTGCAACTGCTCCAGCGCTGCCCTCTCTTTGCGGAAACCATACTCTGCGGCCGACGCCGCAGCCCCGGTGGTTCCCGGAGGCAGGAACTGCTTGAGGGCTCCGGGGGGCGAGCCCGGGTTGCCGCAGCAGCGCACCCGGTACACCGAAGCCGACGAGCCGCTGCCTAGGCGGCTCTGAACCTGCCACAGCCGCCCGAAGGCCTCCAGGAAGCGCGGCGGCTCGGCGCCCCAGGCGCAGCCGGACCCCGCCATGGTGTGGGCTGGGGCGAGGACACGCGAGCCGACACGACGCGCCAGGCAGGCCCGCGGCTCCCGCCGTCACATCCCCGCCCGGACCCGCCGCTCCGCAGGGAGGGGCTCGCAGAGCCAGTACCGACTCCCGGGACCTCAGGCCGCCATGACACCGGAAGCGGGAGTGCACTCAGGCCCAACTACCGGAAGTGGGTGAAAAGCCAATCCTAGAGGCTGAAGGAGGCGGGCCTAGGAGGGGCGGGACCTCCACGGGGGAAAAAGCTAATTTGTTTAGCAAAAAATGACTGTGAGATACTAAACTTAATTATTTGTCCTGGGAGTGTAGTGCAGTAGTCGAGTGCTTGCCTAGCATACACAAGGAAGGCCGTGGGTCCAGTACCCAGCAACACATACGTCAATATTTTTTTGGTTTTATTTATTTTATTTGTGAAGATTTATTACATTGAGATTTTTAACTTTGTGTGTTTATGCCACATGTGTGCGAGAAGGCAGAAGATATCATCTCTGGTGCTGGAGATACAGGTGTTTGTGAGCTGCCTTGTTTGGGTGATGGGAACTGAACCCCTTATCCTCGGGAAGAACAGTATATATACTCTTAGTCACTGAACGGTCTGTAAGGCTATCTTTTTTTTCTGCTCGAGACAGGGTTTCACTGTGTAACCCTGGCTGTCTTGGGTCTCACGCTGTAGACCAGGATGGCCTCGAACTCACCAAGATCCACCTGTTTTGCCCTACTGAGTCCTGGGACTAAAGGTGTGCACCACCACACCTGGCCTGTTGGCTATCTTATTTTTTAATTGCCTGTTATTGCAAGCCCAGTGCGACCTACCTGATTGTTAGTCAGCCTGAAATCCATCATCACTATCTTCCTTTCTAATATAACTGTGATTTTTGTTTAGGACAGTGACATGCATAAACGAAATACAAGTACTCCCTCAGAGCCGGCTTTGACCACACCTACAGGTCTGGTCAATTAAACCTTCCCGCATAACTGCCAAGGAATGTTGGAAAGTTTTGCTTGGCTCAGGTAGATATTGTGTTTTCTTCCCCGATGTTTTCTTGTCCATAAATAAATAAATAAATATAAAGTTAAAGACAGATTAGTCATCTTGTGTCCATGCAGCAACTGAAAGAATGAAAGTCAGATACTTACGTATTAACTGTATATAGACCTATTGTTACAAAGAAACCCAAAGTACAGCGTCTTAAACATGGAAACATCTAAATTAGGGTTCTGCCATTTTCTATGGGGCGTCTATCTTTGGGACCTATGTGTTTATTTTGCTTTTCAGCGTTTCATAGTTTTGAGAATGGGGATAGAGACCAGAGAAGCACAAACCTTATCCCATTAGCTAGTGCTTAGCTAGTCATATGACCTTAGCTAGCCAGCAGACAGGCTGGAAAACCCAAGCATAATTCTATTACTAATGGAAAAAGAGAAGAAGGGATGTTTAGGGGAAAAAGCAAGTCTACCTCACTCATGCTCCAGCAGAAATACAGAAGGCTTCTGCATCCTGGACAGTCTTGTAGAAATCCATTCTGCTTCCCATAACCATCCTCCACACATCTTGTTGTGTGTGTGTGCATATAGGAGACTTGGGGGAGGTCTATTGATTTAAGCTTCTTACTATTTTAGCAATTTGTCAAGTTTTTAATGCAGGCAAATATGCGTAGCAAAGCATTTAGCATATTAATAATTTTTAACTATATGGGTGAGCGATATTTGCACATTCACATTGTGTAAACATTACCAACAACCATCCACAGAACGTGTTTCATCCTGTAGAACTTATTAAATAAGTCTCCAATCCCACTTTCTCCAGCCCCTGACAAGCCACCATTTTCTTTTGATTCTCATCCATAGGCCTCCCTGTAGTCTATCTCTTAAATTGGCTCATACGAATCACCATCCAGCATACCACTCGGACTAACACGGACAACCTCTTGAAGACCGAATACAAATACCAGCCCACAAGTCAAGAATTACTAACTGGGCCGGGCGGTGGCGGCATACGCCTTTAATCCCAGCACTCGGGAGGCAGAGGCAGGCGGATCTCTGTGAGTTCGAGACCAGCCCGGTCTACAGAGCTAGTTCCAGGACAGGCTCCAAAGCCACAGAGAAACCCTGTCTCGAAAAACCAAAAAAAAAAAAAAAAAAAAAAGAATTACTAACTGGTGTGTGGTGGCACACACCTTTAATCCCAGCACTCAGGAGACAGAGATAGGCAAGATCTCTGTGAGTTCAAGGCCAGCCTGGTCTACAAAGCAAGTTCCAGGACAGTCAGGGCTGTTGCACAGAGAAACCTTGTCTTAAAAAAAAAATCACTAGCTGACCAAATGGCATGAGAGAAAAGGGAGGGGAACTTCACTTTAGCCTCTACCATGCTCCAGTTTCAGTAGGAAGTAGCCAGAACTGAAACTGATACCTATAAATCCCTGGGCCCCATCTCTCACGACCTCCTCTTCTAGAAAGTCTTTCTTTTTATATATGCAAAACGTAGGAATATCAGATTACAGAAGCACCTCGGTGGAAGAATCAGTCATGCCTTATATTTTCTGTCTAGCATACCCACACACCAAGCTGCTAAATTCTTAGCATGATGCAAGCCCAAGATGGGGTGAAAAAATAGAACTAACTTCCTAAATTATGGATTTTTATTCTTTACTACTCAGAAAACCCCTTCCTTCCAAACTCATAGACCCTTCCTTCTAAAGTCTATAAATGTAAGATAACTAATTCCTTTCTACTGTGTGTTGCTATTAGATTTCTTATCCCACTATCCAAAACTGTGAGTGGCTGGCCTTACTAAAAGATATTCTACCTCAAAGAAAACACAAATGAAGAAACCCTCACTGGGCCTGGTGGCACAGATTTGTAATCCAGTTTCTTAGAAGGAGGATGTAGGAGAATCTCAAATTCAAGATAGGTCTGGACTATTAGAATAGGCTCCAGGCCAGACTGTGAAATTTATCAAGACCCCATTTCATAATATATATATATATATATATATATATATATTTAAAACTTTTATAGTTCTTGAGATACATTGTAACTCAGATTGTAGAATATTTGTAGATTATAAGGAGACTCTAGATTAACTCTTCAGTACCACCAACATCAAAGATCTAAAACTATAAGTAGTTTCGAAATAAAAAATTAAATGCATAGTAATTTTTCTTACTTAACAGTGTCTGTTTCAAAACCAGCAGTTTTTTTTTCTGATTCTGTTTACTCAGTGAAGTAATTCAACATAGCCTGCTTTAAAATATTGTCACTTGGTTTAGGCTGGAGAGATGTCTCAGCAGTTAAGAGATGGCTGCTCACGAGGTCTTGAGTTCACTTCCCAGCAACCACATGATTTCCCAACTATTCTATAATGGGATCTGATGCCCTCTTCTGGCATGAAGACATACATGCAGACAGAGCACTAATAAACATAAAATATATAAATAAATAAACATTTAAAAATTATTGATGGGACGAGGGGGGTGGGTCATTGTGCAATAGCACTTTCTGCACTAATACATGGATCTGAGATCAAGTCTAGAGTACTTATGTAAAAAGCAGACATGGGAGGTATGCCTGACATCAGTGCTAGGGACCCTAGGAGACAGGAGGACAGTTAGGGCTCGCTAGATGCCAACCTGACGCCCTCCTTTGACTTCTGCACGTACATCACTTACCACAGAAAGGATATACAATTTTACTGAAAGTTTTAGTTTTAAGAGTTCTAAATTTAAAATTAAATTTAAATTTAAAAAAATCTAAAAGGTTTTTAAAATCAGAAACAAACAAAAAACCAGGAATAGAAGATGGCAGTGTTTGTTACAAACAGCTAGTGACCACCTGAACATTTAAGGATCTGGAAAGAAGCATTGAGGAATGTTTGAGTCTTTCTGATTAAACCAATCTCGCAGGTTAAAAGCATAGTGGCGAGCCGGACAGTGGTTGTACATGCCTTTAATCCCAGCACTCAGGAGGCAGAGACGGGCAGATCTCAGTGAGTTCAAGGCCAGCCTGGTCTACAAAGTAAGGTTCCAGGCCAGCCAGGGCTGTTACACAGAGAAACCCTGCCTCAAACACAACAACAACAAGCATAGTGACAGTGTTAAAATCAAGATGAACTTGGGAGGAACATTTCAGCTTCATTATCTCTTGAAGGGAAGGAAGAAAATCAAGTCTACCCCAATGCTTCATGCACACTAGCTTGCAAAAGGGCCCAAGATAGCGCTCAGAAACATAAGACAAAAAGGTTTTCCTCAGTTCTCCAGATTCGTTTCTTGTCACGATATAACCTACCCCCTGGCTCTGGTCCTTCCTGACTGAGCCCCTCCCAGGGGTGCCTGGCACCTGCTCAGCATCTTCCTCCAAGATGGAATAGAAGAGATGGCACATCATCACAGGTCCCGACAAGGATGACCTCCTCAACCAATCTCTGTAGGTGTCTGAGGGTGGACTGTCACCGTCACCAGTAATTCAAACTTCAGAAGTGCTTAGTCTGTGACAAGAAGCTGGTACTTCTTTCAGTCTCCATAACAACACAGTAGTTTTTTATAGTAGGAGAGGTGGATACTGAGCCAGAAGTCATTTGCCTAAGGTCACATGCATCATGAAAAAGTCACAAACTTAGGGTTGAAAGCTGGGCAGTCCAACTCCAGAGCCTACGTTCTCTCCTGTGCTTTTGGATAGAAATCACATTCTGTTTTCTATAGACCATATAGTGGTTCACCAGTTAACAAGAAATTCTGTTACCTGTCAGTTCTGCTGAGTTCTGCTGAAGCTTACAGCTGATCTTAGATTAATATTTTAGGCACTAGAGTGACCACTAAATACATCAGTGATACTCTTTTCTTCAGACTGTATTTCCTAATTTATGTGTTTTTCTCTTTAAGAATCCACTAGCCCCAACACTCCCTAGCCTTCCATATACATCTAGGAGAGGCTAGTGGTTTTAGCTAAGGCTTTCTGGCTTCTTGGAGCAGTTCTAAAACTACTAAAGACGTTTTTCTGATTATTAGCAGAAGTTGGAGAAGAAAGCAGGGAGACTGAAAAGTCATTTTCCCCATCACCATGTAGACAGATGGTTGAAAAGTTTGAAAGAGATGATTAAGGTCCCACATTTACTTTCTTCACTCTGCTTTGCCACATTTTAAAAAAATATT